GTCTAAAATTTCATTGGATGGTTTACCAGAAACCAATTGTTTCCAAATACTGTTTGGTTTTCTATTAAAAAGTATTGCGAATGGAGAGCATTTGATTTTTGATTGGCAAGAAGACCGAAGGTTCCAGATGATTTTTGAGACAGCGTCTTGTAATGTGCTTTTTTGGGCTTCTTGAGACATAGCCAACCATTTAAATTTTACAGTATTTACAAGTTTCTCAACTAATCCGTTGGAGCGATGATCTCCTACTGTACAAAATATTAATTTGATATTGTTCGAATCGTGAAAAAAAACTAAAATTCTAGCTTGTAAAACAGGATGTGTGGTCTACTCTAGTTGAGCAAGGTATGCCGTGAAGAAATCAGTAATCTTGAAAAAATCTTCGTTGGGTTCCAGTAATGGGGGAAGTTCACCAATTTGTGAATTAGGAACTATGCTTTTTAAATTCTTACCCATCTTTGTAAATTCTGAGCAATTTATGCCGTGAAAATAGATATGTCTGTTAAAATGGGGCCACCAGATGTATTGGGCCAAATATTTCATTCCAAAATGACCGGGATATGTTTCATGGAGAGTTTTCATCATTGCATTTCTCAAGGTAAAAGGGATAACTAATTTACCATCCATGCATAGTAATCCGTCGGATTCATGTAAGTCCCGTACAAAGTGGTTGAACTAAGGTGAGTTAATCGTTTCAACTTTGTTTTGAAATGCCTTCACGATGGGGCTCAACAATGGGTCGTCTTCAGTTAGGAGAACTACTAACTTAGCATTGAATAACGTATTCAAATCCAAAGGACAATTGGACAACTTTAAATTTTCTCGGTATTTATTTACAAGTTTTAAGTGGTCAGATAACAACAGAAGTTCGAGGGGAACTTGAATACCGGAATTGGACGGATTATTTACCTTTTTACTATTTTCTTAAATTTTAACTTTATTTACAATTTTTCTATCTAAAGCTGAATTGATTATGCTACAATTAACAATTAAAAACTAAAAAAATGCGGAATTAGAAATAGAAGAGTTAGTGTTTGAACAATCCGAAGGAAAACATTTTGGTGTACAAAGTTTGGTTCGATTAGGATTTGATGAGCGAATTGGGAAAGTCGAATTAATGAGCTTTAGTACGGAAGGTAAAAGGTAATTAGATCTTGTGTAACCGGAATTTTCCAGATTTGAACCAATAACAGAGCATGTCTTTCTTTGATTATCAAAGGATTAAAGGCTTTCTTGTTTTTATCTATTTTAGCGACTACAAACTCTTGGTCATAATGTGATGGGGGTAGAGCTTTTCCAGACGGAATTCTTGAAATTAAATCAGTGAATCCCATGTATGTTTCTGCAAGGTGTTCAATTGTAAAATTAAACGGTAGTATGCGATCCACCCATCTTGCTAGTCTGCTGTGATATGTTTTATTTCCGTAGTTTGCTGATAGGGCGGAAAGTAGGGCTTTATGATCTGTAATTAATTCGCAGTCTGTCCATAAAGGTAATTTTTATTAAGTTCTAAGGCCCAGCCTATTCCCAAAAGATCTAAATCACTGGTAGAATAGTTGTTTAATGTGGGTTAAGAAACCGAGAAGCAAATGAAATCGTTTTTCATCATTCCCATGGAGTTGTTCTAGGGAGGCTCCTAAACCGTTATGTGATGCGTCCGTTTTTATGCTGTTGTTACGTTATGTGTATTTTTTGTAAGATTGATAATCTCCTTTGTTACTTTGTCAAAAGATTTGTATATCAAAAAACCCATGAAAGATAGATTTCGTAATTAACAAAGGGCGTAACGGGTTTCCCATGGATGCTAGATTGGGCACGAATTTATTATTTTGGTTTATAGACCCGAAGAATGATCGCAATTCCTTCATATTTTTTGAGATGGGTTAGTCCTTTATTGCAATCGTTTTGTTGAATAACGGAACAATTCCAGTGTTTGAGATTTTAAATCCCAACCATTCTATTTTTTTGAAACAATTTGCCTTTTGACCATTTAACGGCAAAATTGTAATCATCTTAACTTGATAATATTTTAAAAACAATGTTTTTGTGGTCATCCAAATTACAGTTTGTAAAAGGGATCGTACCTACCGTTGAGTTCATGACTTTTTGAAATTCGTTAGGCGTATCGCATAACCCATAAAAACCAGTTAAAAACTGATAGGTACCCGTAATATCGCCGCCCACTATATTGAAATTACACTGGTTACTAGTAAATTTGTCTAAGGCGAGTTGGCTCACAGATTGTTGCTTAAGGCGAGTTTTCAAATCCAAGCTAGTAAACCAAACTGCTCCAACGGAATCATTTGAAATTTGTGCTGCTACTTTATCTACAATTTCGTGAATATTCGGTATTTGGTATTTATTTTTGTAGATCTGTTTGTTAATAAATTTTGAATCTGAATAAAACTTGATCGATTTGTCTTGTTTTTACGTAATGACATTTGGGCTGATAAAACGGTCACCATCGCAATTTTCTAGCTTCTTAATGTGTCCTCTTTTTTCAGTCAAATATTTTCCGTTTTAACTGAATCAAGTAAGTGGAGAGGAACGCGTCTGCCTTCAATTGTATTGGCTTTAGCGGTTCGTGAAAATGAGTGATTTTTATCTGATTTTTTTTTCCCAATCCGATTTTTAAAATTCTCAGCGATTTTAGTAATTTCCCTTTATTTTTCTTCGGTCGAAATAAATCTTATTGACTTACACATCTTATTTGTCTGAAAATGTGGAAAGTACTTCTGTGATACTTCTATCACCACATTGGGCAGGTTGTCATTTCCAAGTATGTTTCTCTCATGCCCTTCTGTCAAAACGAAATGATAGTCGTCGTAAAAAGATTGGTAGTATCAATTTGCCAGAGATGTTGATGGCTTTGTCCGTGAACCCGCAGTACAAGTCTTTGCTTGCTTTATCCATTGGATAATTTTTTAGGTATGGATCCCGTAATTTCAATTCGTGAAGAAAGTTCTTCTTGAGAAAGCAGACCGGGTTTGCAGAGTCCGCTTGTATGTTTAAAATTACTTGGTTTTCTTTCCCGAGGCCAAAATTCAAAAGTTTCTTAAGTTCTTTTCCATTGTCGTCGAAAATTGTAGTTACATTTAATACAGAATAATCGTCATTTTCACTCTGTCCACAATCTGACCATGCGTTACTCACGCCACAACAGTCTCTATTTACATGGTCCATAATTACATCCGGATGATCCGACGGATTAAAATCTGCCTTATTTGAGTATTTACATTTTTACGACGAGATTTACTTGAACGACGAGAGTCTGATGAAATGGCGTTTATATTTACGGGATGTACAAGTTGTGACCTTCGCTGGACAAACAGCCAGATTTCCTTTTGAAGAGGTCCCGCCATATTTAAAACAGAAGTTGCTCCGTTCAATATTCAGGGTAGGTTCTCTTTTGACGTTAAAATGATTGTGGGGTTTGTGTACGGATGATCTGTTGAATTTAAAATTACTTGTTATTTTAAAAAGATTTAAAGTTCCACATAGGGTGACACTGAGTGCTTCCCACTGTGTTAAGGTTTTGTTCAGGACTTTTCGTTGCATATCTGAATTTTTCATGTTATTTATGAAGATGTCCCTGAAGATTTATGATTTGTCCTCTCCGGCGGTTATAACACACTTTTTAGCCATTTCGGCTTAGGCTCACCAAAAATTTTCAAGTGACTCTCTGTCTCGTCGTTTCCTTTTTAACAACTTGTGCCTTTCGAATGAGACGTTTGTTCTCCTGACAAAAGCGGTTGCTGTGTGCCCAAAACTCTTTGAATGAAATTTGGAGTAATTTTACCTTTGGAAACTTTTGTCTGAAGATTCGCTCTCCCTCGTTTCCTAGGGCTAAGTACAGGATAGAAGGTTTTTTCTTGTCGGCGTCCTCTATTCTCATTCCGTTAAATTTCTTAGTTTCTGATTTAATAGATACCGCTTCCTCATCGTCGTACCGTCTTTTTATCTTGAATGTTTCTTTCTATCCTAGCTTTTCTTTGGTTTTCCGATTCCTTTTCCGTCGGATTTTCTCGAGTTGGTGGATGGGGATGATGTCTTTCCGATGAATTCAGTAGATGCTCGATGTCTAATTTTTCTTTCGCGATGATTGCCATGTGGAAGAGACCACTCCAATCTTCCCAAGGTATAGGTGGGTCCACCGTATGGTTCTGGCAAAAAGGAGGTATTTCTCTCACATTAGATAGACGCTATTTGACTGCGCCATGATAAAATGTTACTTTGTTGCAGCTAAGTCTACTTTATACAATAAAAAGGTTAAAAAATTAAAAGTGAATTAATCTAAAGTTAGAACATTAAAAAGTGAAGAGAGCATTCCATATCTAAGTGAACTATTAGAATGGTTACGTAATTATTAGCTAAACTAGAGTATATACAGTGAAACGACATCAAGACCTTGAAAATTCATTATAATCGATTAGTATTCAGGGAATCTCACTGCGGTAATTTGCCAAATAATTTTTTGGCAAATTATAACTCTTGATCCCAATATGCAAAACTTTCACTTTAACAATTTTTAATAGGGCAAGGATGTAAAAATCCAGCGTATAAATCTAGCGTGAAAATCCGGAGAATGCTATTTTTTCCGCAGCTATTAGGACATTTTGCAATTACTTTTAACGAGGTCGCAAGAAATATTAGTTCGAATCTGAATTAGCAGGCGAATGTAGAATTTTTCAAGGATTTTTGTTTTTAAATTAACTAACATTTCCAAATTACCAGAGTTTCTTTTGAAATTTTTTTCTAACTCTGAACTAGAGGCGAGAATTACTCTCAGCTCCTCGCTCTGATGCCCAAAGGATCAACGAATCGCTAGACTCATTGAACCCTTATAACCCTCCTCCTCACATTCCTCCTTCTCAATATTGCCGGACTCTAGTTTGAGAAATTAGGGGGGGGGGGCTAAATTGCTACTGAGAAATGTGCCCTTAAGTTTGAGAATAGCAAAATGTGTGAGGATCGAGTTGTGTGTCGACCAGGGTCCTCACCATATCTTTGAAGTTCCTTTCTGTGAAGTAAAAGTTAACGGGTCTCTGCAATTGCCACTCATCGTGTTCCCTGTAGTACTGTAGATCCGCAGTTTCTCTGAGAAAACCCACATCAGGTCCTTTGAAAAAAAAAGAAAAACTAAACAACATCCACTGTGGCAAAGATCACCCTAGTCCAGGTCGTGGTTTCCTCGTTTAGACTTTCATGGCCCAATCAATCCACTAAAGGCACGACCTCGACTTGGGCAACATTACATGCAAAAAAAGTTTTTCTCCGCCTTGGTCTGGAGAGTCGCGCCGTCTCCATCCTGGTCGCAAAAGTCGCGCCGTATCCCTCTCGGTCGCATAGGTTGAAAGGAATTTTTTCTTGGTTGCGTCGTCTCCACATTAATCTGGAAAGCCGCGCCGTCTCCACCCTGATCTCAAAATTCGCTCCCACTTCGGTCGCGAAAAGTGGGATGAACGTTTTCTGGTTCGTGTCCTTCTCCGCCTTAGTCTGGAAAGTCGTGCTGTCTCCACCTTGGTCGCGAAAGTCTAGAAATGGCCGTTCTTGGTTGCTTGATCGCGAAACGCGAAAGCGCGCAGTTTCGAACTGGGTCACAAAAACAGCGAGAGATTTTTTTGGTCGCGCCGTCTCCAAGTTGGTCGCGCCGGTCGCGCCTTTTCATGAGCTGCGTTGGTCACGCCGTCTCCGCCTTGGTAGTGAAAGTCTGGAAGTGGCAAATCTTGGTCGTGAAAGTCTTGATTTACTAAAACTGGGTTGCAATAAGTTGTTCGCGCCATCTCCGTTTCGGTCGCGAAAGTCGCGACGGATCATTGTGGTCGCCTAAGTCTGGAAATGTCAAGTTGCGGCCGCGAAAGACTGGAAATGCCTAATTTCGGTCGCGAAAGTATGGACATGAGTCTGAGACCTCGACCCGAGTTACATTTCGAAAAAATGCTTTTGCGCATTTGATTAGAAATAGCATGTGCGTTTTTTGGTAATTTTTCTGAGCTGACCGTGTACAGAGTCTCTATACACAGCTCTGTGTTGAACTTGATTTTTCATTCAACACAGTTGTTTGTAATTTACTAGCCAAGCAGAGAATAGTTACCGGTATCGCAAAACCCGCGAGTGATGAAAAAACTAAAGGTATCTCAATATATACCATAAGAGCTAAAATAGTAAGGCTCTTTTCCAGTTCCCTCCCCTTTTTAACGTGGTCATATTGCAATGAAACTTGGCGTGGTGAACAAATCGACAACTGTGAACATATTCGTTCTGCATACTTTACAGCGTAACATCACGCATTTAGCTGTAATAACACATAAAACAAACATGAAATTCGGTATTTTGAAAGGGCGGGACTAGAAAAAAAAGCCAATAGTAAAACTAACCAAACGTATAGTCGAATTTTTCGCTGACCCACGGCCCGAATCTGATGTTGCAAGCATGTCGGTCGAAAGGGAAATTTGCAACATCAAAGGAACAAGAAAACTTAATCGTGGCCAATGAGGAGTAGAACGCGACCAAACCAAGCTGACCATTTACAAACTGTCGATGAAAGGCTTCGTGTATGACCTTAAGGGCATCCAGAGCCACTAAAACATAAACCGAATTTTGTTATTATGAGTCACTTTTATCAAAGTTTTTAATAATCAAAATGAAACCCGGGTTGACGCGGGATACTTTAACATGAAACTTGTTAGAGATAAAAGTGCTTATCATAAACGTATGCTACATACGTTTCTTTAATATTTCATACATTATTTCATGGGTTGAAGCTATTTAACTGCGGATTGGAATATTGATGGAAAAAAACGAAACCAACCGATATCACCTGACCAGAAAGTTCCAGGTGGTACAAATAGTTCTGAAACGTTATATTCAGAACTGTTCCACATGGCCGAATTTGAGTAGTAATAGTAATACAACCACATTTTCGCAGTCAGAGCGCCCTCTCGTTCGTCAACATCGGATATTTGATACAGGTCGACGTAAATATGAACTGTTTTGTTACGCATGTCTTGAGGCGGGGAGTATTTCGGCAGGGAGTTGTTAAGTCTTTCGAATAAGATTCTTTCTTCGGTCACCCCATTTCGTGTTTCGTTCGCATCAATCAATGGAAAGATATCAAAAAGTGACGCAAACATGAGAACAAAAGTAAATATCATTTTTTAGTTAAGCTTTTATTTTAACAGATACCACGCTCTGTATTCTATTCTAGTTCTGTTTGAAAAGCATGGCGTTTATTTTCTGTGCAAAAATTGTTCAATGGTCAGTTAATTACTGACTAAAATTGGTTTGTTTTTCATTATATTTTGTATGAAAATTAAAAAAAAACTGACAGTAGAACGCGACCAGCTGAAAAACAAATAATTTATATCAGTTATAATCAGCAAAATGAACTGAACCGCCTTTTTTGAGTCTTTACCGTGATTGTAAGTTTTGTGAAATATTTGTTATCCGCAGTATCACTACTGAATCACATGGCGGTTGGAATTATTCTGCTCCTGGGTCATTCTTCTATTAGACTGGCCTTCAAAAGGAAACAATCATGTGTTCAATTCTTGGTTCAGAAATTTATAGATTCAAGGGTTTGCTTCAGTAATTTTGAAACCATATCAGAAAGCCACTAGCGATACGGATTTTAAGGACCCTTGTAAGCTGAGCTTTTGTCCACAAAAACAAAAAAAGACACTTAGTGTAATCCCGAGTCGAGATTTTTAACCTAATTTGAAGCAAGATTTGAGCGGTTTGAGCGGTTTTTTTAGACAATTACGCTCAAAATCTTGCTTCAAAATGAGCGGTTTGAGCGGTTTTTGAGCGGTTTTTTTTAGATTAAACACTCAAAACCGTTCAAATCTTGCGCGGTTTTTGAGCGGTTTTTTTAAATAAACCGTTCAAAAACCGCTCAGACCGCTGATTTTGAAGCAAGATTTTGAGCGTAATTGTCTAAAAAAGCCGCTCAAACCGCTCAAATCTTGCTTCAAATTAGGTGAAGGATCTCGAATTGATTTAATCGGTTTTCTTTGTAAGACCGTTCAAAAACCGCTTAAAAACCGCTCAAATTTTGCTTGAAAAACCATTCAAAAATCACCGCAAGAAATGAGCGGTTTTTGAGCGGTTTTTTAAGCAAGATTTGAGCGGTTAGAGCGGTTTAAAAAAAACGCCCAAACCGCTCAAATCTTGCTGGAAAACCGCTCAAACCGCTCAAATCTTGCTGAAAACCGCTCAAACCGCTCATATCTTGAGCGGTTTTTGAGCGGGATTTCGACCCGGGTAAGTGTATAGTACCCGATTGTACTTCCGGTCAAAAACAGGTAATTTCAAAATAGTTTAGCTTAGTGGACTTTGAGTCATGATGAAAATGTAGCGCACTGTGTAGGATTGGTTGAGTCTGATAGTTTGCGAAGCTTTGATGACCGTCTGGTCGCACACATGTCGCCGAGACCCAACAAGTCTCACAAAGAGCCAAGGGCCCAACTGGTTGCACGTACTTTGCTGAGGACCACTGGGCAATCACAGGCGTCTGAGAACCAAATGGTCTAATATGTAAGGACTACTGTTAGATCTGATTGCCACACTGGCTAACTGGCTTCTAAAAGAGTTGCGGTATCAATGCTTCTGAAGGCAAAAAACTTCATAATAGTCAAAAAATTGTGCCACAGCTTTATTTGGCAGTAAATAGTGACACAAAAATTTAATTGCTAGTTTGAACGGCATAAACAACTTCAAATACGACCAAGAAACTTTGTTAAGATATATAAATTTTTGACTGCAAATCATTTACTGTAGCCCACATTACCGGCTAGTTATTTTTGAGGTCAAAATTGTTCAAGGTTAGACAAGAAAAATGACGAAAATGGTCTACCCGTTTGTCATTTTTTTTTCAAAACGTAAATTATTATATAACAAAAAATTCATGGGTTAGATTAGAAACGGCTCCGAAAGGCCGGGTTACTTTTCAATACTCTAGCTAGACCGATAGATCATCAGATCTTAATAAGCGCAAGTTTATAGACTTTCAGTTCAAGTATGAGAATTGTTTTTAGCGCTAACAAGTTGAGGCCAAAACGTATGTTGAAAACGTAGGCCGTGATTTGAAAACGGATTCGACAGAACGATCTCCCTTTTTGAACTTGCCAAAAACAATGTAAGATATTTGAATTCTGGTTGTCAGTGACGTACAGAGCAAACCGTCTAACCAGTGTACAGGTTGGCCTCGAAATAAAAATGAATAAAATTGAAGCAGCTTTGAACAAAAAATTTGAAATTTTTTGCATTCCAAAGTACAGGTCAGGAGAACCTAAACTCGTGCGAATATTTGCCAACTTGTTCTATTTCAAGCTGCAGGTCAGAATAATAAGATAGCTCACAAGGTTTCTCTCGGCTATTCAGTAGCGTATGGACACATATCTCGGTGTGCAGTTTGGTGCCAGCGAATTTTCTTTTTCAATTCTCGTCAAAAGCCGGCTAGAAAACTTATGTGTGTGTGTGTGTGTGGGAGGGGGGATAGAGAGCTCAACTCTACGTTGAGTCCTACTAGAACAGTTACGACTGCAAAAAAGTATCACCCTTAGAGCAGGCTTAACTGCTGCCATATTAGCCTCTTATGATACCAAGCTGATAGTATATTATTCTTAAACGTTCTGTGCACTTTTTTGAGAACCAATCAGGTACATTGAATATCAATACTCGAAAGGATATCAATCTTTCTCATTTTCTATGCGTTTATACGTTTGATCAGTTTTTCTATCTATTTCAACCAAGACTAAAAAGGTAAAAGTCGAGAAATTGCCTGTCACTGAATTAACGTTACCATAGTTGCTTGGTTTTCTGGAGTTTTGCCTTTTCAAATAAATCGTCAGCGCACGGACTCCTCATCTGCACGGTCAACCCCCAATTTTTGGGTATCCAAAATTAAGAACAAAATTTTGACTATGTCGTGTTGTTATCGTCGCATTACGCAATCAAATTATGTTCTTTTGTATCGCGTTCGTAACTGTTTCATATTGTGTTTGTAATCGTATTCCGAAGGCATGAGCCGTTATGATTTTATTTGATTTTGTATCAGTAATTGTATTTGCATTTTGTATATGCAAACAGATCTCGCTCTGTTCAGCATGTTGCCTTGTAACCCACCAACTTGTACCGTTCTAAAACCATTTTAACCATACCAAGCCATTCCGAACTACATCATCATTGCTTTCACATAAACATACATTATCTCGATATTGGTTTGTTTGAAGAATCCTCTCTAACTGTTAAGAAATTTTCAAATTTTTAGTTGATAAAAAATAATACATTGATCTGGTTCTTGTTGCTAATACCTTCAGAAAATGTTCAGTATGCTTATAATTCCGTAGTGTGCGCTGCCAGCTTACCTCTATTTTGTCTGAAATGACCCGATAAGCTCAACTGTATTGGTGTTTATAAGTGTTGTACCCCAAATGATTGTAGTTTTCTTCCAACTTCACCGATATCTGCTAGGTTTTCTAATATTTTACTTTTTGTTGTATATGATTTCTAGTGCGACTGTTTTCATCTCACCTTGTACTTCTTTTGTGATGTCCCCGAACTACTGAATTCTTTTATACACTTTACCGTGATTGCCAGTGTTTTGTTGCCTTAAAGTTTACCCGTTTTTCCTTCCAGTACCGTCTTTCCTCCCGTATGATTGAATCACTTGTTGCTGTTTTTGTTTTTTTTTTAAATCCCTGATACCCTGTTCCTTATCATTCTATAACCTTACCTACTTAGAGAAAAAGATATGTTTTTTTTGGCTGCTGTTTAATGTTTCTTCTCGATGAGACTGAAATTGACCACCGGTTTGATCAACTCCCTATATGAGTTTCACCTAAACACGATCTTGCAATACGATCCCTACCTTTGTGTACCTCAATTACGCAACGCACCGGCCAAGTTCTCCTATGTGTGTTTGTTTCTAATACCTATACCAAATCCCAATCTCAAGGTCAGACGATTTTCTCCATGTGTCGCGTCTTCGCAATGTTGGCAAACATTTCTTGAGAAGCCGAGACTAAAACTGTTTCATTATTGCATTAACTTCTGTCCAAAATTTTCTCTAGAAGTTTTCTTGTTGAATGAACATGTCAGTGACCGTTCTTGTGATCATACCTGTGATGAAATGACTCAGTGCCTTTTAAAGTCAGCACTAACTGCTGTCAGTGGTCTAGAATGCAATAAGGCTTCTATTGGACATACAATTGCCGCGAATTGTAGTCTCTTTCATCCAGCATCGTTGAAGAAGAGCTTTCTGTTGGTACCAAGAAACAGTTCTCCAATAAACAGCGGTGCTCCAGGTGTTACAAGCTTCCACATGATTTTCTTGTTCTCCATGAATTTCTGTAGTTTGACCGTCGAAAACGTACTTGCTTCCAAAAATTTTGCTGGACGAAGTTGAGAGCATTGTCACTGTGAATTCTGAAGGCAGTCCATGCCAACTGCAAAACCTTTGGAATGCAATTACACAGGCTTTATCCTTCAGGTTTGATGTGACCTCGAAGTCTACTGCTCCAACAACTATGCATGTGAATAGGCAGCAATACATCCGAGAAAACTCGTTCGAAGAAGTCTACTGCTGTTTCCTGAAAAGAGAATGATTTTGCCGAAAACCTGCACGATGGTATGTCCGCCATGATCGTTTGACTGTTCAACTGACATTGACGACGACACTCGTAGCATTTGTTGGAGATAATTTTGACTGCGGTACCAGATCCAAGGAAGGACTCAACTGTTTTGTTGGATGACATGCTGTAGTTGTTCTCTACCGACGTGGCCTTTAGATTTGTGTACAAACTCCAAAAACAAACAAACACTTTTGTTTCTAACAATTAAAATTATTAGAGTGGCTTAGCGGAGAGTAAAAAGAGCGTTTCATATTCGACTGTTGGAACGAATTACTTTATTTGCATAAAAGAAATGTGAGAAAACTCTCGAGCGGCTTTTCAGCGCGACGGAAACGCTTTTCCGGATATTACCCAGATCCTGGCTGATAGCTTGTTCATGTGAGATTTTGAACAAGAGAAATTCCACTTCGTTCATTAACGATGCTCTTGGTATAGTCGTCTTTGATGGTCGTAGCCTGAGCAATTTGTAGACTAGAGCACACAGTCATTGCCACTTGCTGAGTCTGTTGATATCAATAAGTCTAAGACCGAGTTTGAATTTGATTGCAGCTTTGAATAAGAGCGCAAGTTTTATCGCAGATTTGATTCTAGAGTTCCTTTTTCTTCATGAGAAA